TCAGAAAGAGAGGAAATTGCCATAGAATTATTTGGTTCATTTTTGGGACATAAAATAACAAAATATGAGACAAATACCAAGGACAGTAGAAACAGGGACCAGGAGGACTGTTCCTCACTTGGAAGTCTTCCTCAAGTTATGGAGTTGAAAGCAGTAAGGATAGAGAAGGGAGCATAAAGTCAGTTGGAAATAATTGCTATGTATATGAATTTGTATAAGTATTGTGTGTTGAAAAATGGCGGTGTAGCAATCTTAAAAACCTCTAATTATCTGTTTTAGCAAACCACAAAACCCAAATGGAGAGAAACAGAGACAGATATAGAGACAGAGATTGGGAAAGTGCCTGCCATAGAGACATCTGGGCGTGACGTTGGATGAGGGAAATGGGGCATTGGTGATGGGACATGTACACTGATGGAGGAACGTGTGTTGGAATGCTGTATAACTGGAACCCAACCATGAACAACTTCGTAACTCTGTATCTCAGAGTGATTCAATTTAAAATAGAATACTGACTATAGAAATGTATTGTAGTGAAAGGAAAATTCCTAGGTCACTCTTGTCCCTAGCTTTTAGATAGGAGTCTCTGATGACCCCAGTCTTTAGAGAAGATAATGACACAGAAGGAAATAAATCAGGGGGTGGGTGGAGAGAACAAAATATAATGTGTGAACAGGCATCAAGGTTTTAGTTATACTGGTGATAAGAGTGAGTGTTACAGCGATATATCCGAAGCACAGACTCACCAAATTTGAACACATAAGATCTAAGTTGCAACCACTGAAACTTTGTTATGTGCCTATTAAGTTGCAGGCATGGATCGGTGGGGGTTGAGTTTGGAAGGTAATATGGGATCACTGGTGGAGGCAATTCACATTGGTACATCTATGCCTAAAACCCAACTATCAATAACTGTGTATATAACAGTTCCTTAATAAAATAAATATAAAGATGCAAAAAATTCCCACCCACGGTTATGGGGATTGCAATTTTAGCTTCATATTACCAGTTTTGTGAGATCTGATCTGATTATTTCCATTTAGTGATTACTATTTTAATCTGTTAATATAATAATTTTGTGCCCTCAAAATGTTATTCCGTGTTTATACAGGTGAATGTGTAATTACTCCCATTTACATGGCAGGATTATTAGGGATGTATTCTCAAACAGATATCAGAACTTTCAAGTCTTTAAAGTTGATGTGATTGAGGGTGTAGAATAGATCTGAATTATTTGAGGTTTAAAATCCAGCGTTGGGGGCATTCTTGGTCCACAGAACATGAGAAGAGATTATAGTGCAAGAGTTGATGTGGCAGAAAGAGCTTCAGAGACTTTGGCTTACTTAGGTGAAAAAAGAAGCAAGCAATGGCATTACAAATCTGTAAGGACAGTTCTTGGGCTTAAGAGACAGTAGTGGAACTTCCTTGGTCCACCTTCCCCATCTGTTCTTCTTGTTATTCCACTAGATATTTTTATTTTCTGTTCATCTATTTCTCCTGCCCTTCTCCTAATCAATTTGACACTTGTTGAGCACATTAAGCTGACCCAGCCTGTATTGATTAGGATAAATGTATTGATACTTAATGACTATTTGTTTAGTTTGGAGTAAATTAGTTTATTTATATTTATTACACAATTAATTTAATACAATTAGTGTACCTAGAACTCTTGATAATGCATATTTTCTCTTTGTAGAGAGATTATATAATTCTAACATTCATGACAAAATTCTTATTTTTATTAAAATATTTAAATATTTTATTAATATAATATTTTATTAAATTTTAAAATGCACTAGTAACCATGAAATTGCAAAGCTATTCAAGATTGGGTTTCAGGCATACATTGTTTCAACATCAATCTTTTCAATTGTTCCCATTTCTCTCCACCACTTACCCCTGCTACTTTACCTCCCACTCACAGATATACATGTACACGGGGCACTTTTAAAAAATATATAAGTTTTATATTGTGGGTTACTGCACTGCTGCCAATGTGGTTTCTTTTTTATTGAATCACCGTGGGGTACAGTTACAAAACTTTCCTGTTTGAGTTTCAGTCATACAATGATCGAACACCCATCCCTCCACAAGTGCACATTTTCTACCACCAATGTCCCCAGTATCCCCCCATACCACCCCTTCCCCTGTTTCTATGGCAGAAAATCTCCCACATACTCTCTTTTGTATTGCTTGTTGTGAACAGCATAAAATAGTTCCTGGAATTCCAAAATTTTTTATAATTAGAGTCTGTAGAAACCCAGAAACCCGCGTACTTGCACTTGTCATTGGGTTCTGGAAATTGGTGACCATCAGAGTTCTTAGGGGTAAGGTGAAGGGACAATGCCTGTTTCCTTCTGAGGCACCCCAGTGAAGTTGGCCAGGCTTCAATTACAGAGGCATCTCTGCAGCGAGCTGTTCAGTTTGGAGATTCTTTTGTATGCCCAGCAATGTGGTTTTATACATAACACTACCTCCTCCTCTCATTTTATTTTTCCTCCACTAGAGTTGTTGCCCACTCCCTGTCCTATCTTTCAACCCCTCAGGTGTATGTTTCCTACTCATTTCTGGTTTTAATGTTATTTGTTTCACTGCCTTTGGGCATTCATTATGCCCACATGATGTTTCCTTATACTCTGTATGAGACTGATTATTCTGTTTTGGTCTTTCACCCTCTGACTAACTTCACTCAGCATGATACTTTCCATGTCACTACATGTTGCTTCAAACTACATGCATTTATCTTTTCTTATGGCTGAGGAGTATTCCGCTGTGTATACGTATTCTATTTTTTTTATCCAGTCATCTAAACTTGGAGACTGGGTTATTTCCAGATTTTAAATATTGTGGATAATGCTGAAAGAAAAATAGAGGTGCAAATGCCTGCTCCATTTTTGAGATCTTATTTTATATAGATGGTATTGCAGGTGCTGAGTCAAATGGAAGCTCAATTCTTAGATTATTTTAGGAATGCCAATATTGTTTTCCTAAATTACAGGAGCAGTTGACATTCCCAACACCAGTAAATGAGAGTTTCGTTTTCTCCATATCCGTAAAAGCACTGGCTGTTCTTGTTCTTTTTGATGTATGAGTTTCTCTGTGGCATGAGTTGAGACATCATAGGTTATTGATTTGCATGCCCCTGATGATGAATGATGCAGAACATTTATTCATGTGCCTTTTGGCTATTTGTAGTTCTCCTTTGAAGAAATTTCTGCTCATATTCTTATATTAAATAATGTATTAACATTTAATAATTCTTTTTTATTGTATCACCATAAGACATAGCATACCCTTTGATCAGTTGAATTCCTGTTATTTATTGGGTTTCATTCATCCCCCATGATTGCTTTTTTCCCAATACCGATGTTCCTAGATTCCCACCAAAAATCTCATCCCCTAAGCCTGCCTCTATGACAGGATACTTCTCTGCCTCTGTCTCTGTCTCTGTCTCTGTCTCTGTCTCTGTCTCTATCTGTTTCTCAGGTACAGAGAGGTTATCAGTTATGTTTTTTTTATCTACTTTCAGCATGCAATTCTTATCGAGAGTGATCATTTCCAACTCCAATTGTCATAGTGGTTTCTTCTTTACCTTAAACTACCTTCCCCTTCCAGTACTTGAGGAAAAATTCCTAACGTGAACCAATTCTCCTGGTCCTTCTTTCTACTTTCTACTGCCCTGTCCTTGAGTATTACTCTCATAACATGTTTTTGCATCCCACAAATGAGTGCATTCTATCTCTGTCCTTTACTTTCTGATTCATTTCCTTCAATATAATACTCTTAATGTTAATTCATTTATAAGCGAATTTCATGACTTCATTTTTCCTGGTGGCTGCAGAGTGTAAAGGTAACAGGATGCAAAGACATTCCATGGAATGGGAAGAGTTAATTACTCAATAATCTTAGGATAAGGGGTTAATATCTAAGATAAATAAGGCACTGGTATAATTTATAAGAAAAAAATCCAACCTCAACAAAAATGGGGAGAAATGAGTAGAAGCTTCCTGAAAGAAGAAATACAAATGGCTAAAAGGCACATGAAAAAATTCTGTACACTGTTAATCATCATTGAGATGCAAATCAAAGCAACAATGAGATACCATCTCCCACTACAGAGACTGGAAAACATAGGTCAACACACTTAAGATAATAATCCTAAAAAGACCAAGAGACGGTCCAAAGAATTCTGAATGAATTTAGATTACAGTTATATAACAGTGATAAATGTTGGTTATGGTTGTTTAAACCATATACTATGTACTCCAAAACATAGGGTCTGAAATGATAGTATAGCAGGAAGGGCTCTTTCCTTGAACTGAGATGACCTGGGTGTGATTCTAGCAGTACATATGATCCCCTTCGATCTTCTAAGAATTTTCCTGGAGTGCAGAGCCAGGAAAAAGCCTTGAAAATCACCAGGTGTGACCCAAAGCAAAACAAACCAAAAAAAGATATGAAGTCCTACTATCTTTTCACAGCAAGATTGTATTGAGATGGCTAATGAAGGCCTCGTTTTCAGACGATATTTCAGATTAATTAAATGAAGGAGAGGTGAGGGATAGGGATAAATGGGGGCTTAGATAGAATAATAAGTGGAATAGAAATAAAAAGAACTGGGACGATGTTGAGGAAGAAAAGTTTGAATTGGAGTAAAGTAAATTTGTCATAAAACTGAAAGGTGTGTGGAGAAAGAAGGATAATAAAAAGAACAACAATGGAAATAGAGGAAGGTTCAATAAGTGTATGAATTATAACAAGAACGACTTGTATTGTGGACTCTTAAACCTATTAATCTGTTAATTCTACTGTTAACATACTGCATTACAATTCAGAATCAAAACCACATACAAATGTTAATTTTATGAACAGTATAATTAAAATCAGAAAACTATGTTGTTCAATATAACACAGAGATTTCTTCAACTAATGCACAATAGCAATGTTGTGGGTTTTTATTATAGTAATAATAAATAATGAATCTCTTCCTCTTTTTCCAGAGCAATTAAGCACTATCATAACCAGCACTGAAAATATTCTAAAAGGTATGTAGATTATGTATACACTGGTAAGTTGTATGTGGATGGCCATTTGGAAAGAGGGAGGGAGCATTTTAGAACTCTCGAATATGGAATTCAGCTGATCAAAGGGTATGCTATAATACTAGAAAACATATCATGTTTTTTCTCTAGGCAATCAGAAATCAAGTACCCTATACACAGCTCCTGTAAAAAGTTTTAGTCTCTCTGGTTTCTGTCAAAAGTTCCTGAATTTGAATGGGAGATGTGTGCTGAAAGTAGATAAAGGACAAAACGTTATAGCCTCTCTCAGTATCTATATTGCAAACCATAATGCCCCCAAACAGGGAGAGAGTATGGGGGAAATTCTCTGCCATAGAGGCAGGGGGCGGTCTGGGAAAGGAGCGGGATACTGGGGACATTGGTGGTGAAAAATGTGCACTGGTGGAAGGATGCATGCAAGGCAAGAGCTTTACTCACTGCACTATCTCTCCCTTCTAGAACAGATATATTCGAATCACAAAAAAAGCTAAGTATCAAGGTCAACTGTAGATACTTTTGCAGAGATCTAAAACACTCAATCTAGGGATGATAAGTGTGTAGAAATACAGGGTGTCTAAGCAATAGGAACAGCATGTGAACATCTCAGAAGCCTGAAAGATGACCAACTATTCAAGGAAAAAATGAATGAGTTATTATTTGCAACAGTAAATAATACTTGAAAGTTATGAGTTGAAATTCCTGACTTGAGTCTGAAATTTAATCCATAAATTAATTGAAATCATCAAAAAGTTATATGGTAGGATGGATAGATAGTACAGTCAGTAAAGCGCTTCTCTTACATGCTGCTGATCTGTGTTCAGTTTTTGACACCTAATGTGATCTCTGAAGGCCCTCCAAAAGTGGGTCTTAAGCACACAGCCATGACTAAAGCCCTGAACACTACTGGGTATCACCTCAAAACAAAAAAAGTTTCCATGGAAATTAAAAAATCAGGTATTTCTCCTTCCTAAATTAATGTTTCATGACTTAAGGAGGTGAGAGATGAAGTGTTAATATGGTGGTCTAATAAACAAAGCGAGCAATGATAAACTAGATGTTATAATCAAATGCTGATTTCATTTATGACTCTCAGTTTCATTTTATAAATTATAAAAATCAAAGAACTATAGAGAAAACCTAAGGTTTAAAGGAAGGCTATATGTGCATCTGAGTCCAGTTTAATCTTAAGCACAACATATATCCCCTGAACATTGCCGGGAGTGATTTCTGGCCACTGCTGGGTACTCCACAATCCCACAAAAAGGAAACTGTAAATTATGAAAATAAAATCCAATATTTTACTATAGTATTAGACTTTAAATACTTGACAGAATATACCAACGACCTTATTTCTCTGAATATTAACTATTTCCATGGAGAATTTTTTTTATTCCTTAAGAACTTTCTCATTTGTAAAACTTGCTACATTAGTTTCTGTAACTTTTGAATTCATCTGCATTTTCTGTGGAGGATAAGAATAGTTAATTTTTGTTGGGCCATATACAGTGCAGCTCTTTTTTTATTTTTGGGTCACACCTGGCGGTTCACAGGGGTTACTCCTGGCTCTGCACTCAGGAGTTACTCTTGGTGGTGCTCAGGGGACCATATGGGATGCTGGGAATCGAACCCAGGTTGGCCGCGTGCAAGGCAAACGCCCTACCCTCTGTGCTATCTCTCCAGCCCCTACAGTGCAGCTCTTGGGCTATTCCTTATTCGTTTTCCAGTATTGACCCACTGCAATGGTAAGCCAACTATAAGTGGTTTGGAGAATTGGAACCAGGGATGTGACTGTAGCAGCTTCATGAACATAAAGTATCTTACTTCGTGCACTTCCCTCATCTTGCTCTGACTTTATGTTGACCTAATACCCTTCTTTCAGATATGTGGTTTAAAATACAACTTATTAAATACTTTTTTATCCAAGGTTCCCATTTTTCTCCTTTTCATTTCATTAGCAATACCCAGCGACACTGGAGAAGGCGATGTGAGTTTGCTGGGCATGAAGATCCCTCTAAAGAATGCTCAGATATTAACGGTCGTCTTGATTTCCATGGGTGTCATTCTTCTGATACTTACTCTGGTTCTTGGTGGTGTGGTCTGGTACCAGCATCGGCTGAGAAAACTACGGCGCAACAGGAGGTCCATCTTGGATGACAGTTTCAAGCTTCTGTCCCTCAAGCCTTAACAGCGGGATACCAAAAATACATATTTGTAATATATTCCCTGAAGGTTATGGAATACCTGACTCCATTTCTAAAGGGGTTTTGGTTGTAGAAATTCAAAAGACAGAATCCACTTTGAGTGTTTATCACATATTTATTGTCATGTAAACTATATGCTTTCTGTTTTTCATTAGTTTCTTTGTTATAAGCAGGCATTTCAGACTAAGTGAGTTCTTTGTGTCCAATGTCAATTTGTATCCAATTTCAATAGTGAGATTATATAACTCATGGATGCTTGAAAGGATTGTAATTGCCTAAAACTAACCCTTATAAATTAAAATCCAAGAATAAATCTCATTTATTAGCTCTCTATTTATTTCCAGGGCACTGACAATTTCACTCTAAATTGAAGCTAATGAATTGTGAATTAAATACTCATATATATATATATACATATATATATAGGAATAATAACAGACAGGTAGGGGGATTTTGAAAAATCAAAACAAATTTGAATCTTTGTGGCCGTGGAAGATTTTGGAAAAGTAGGTGGGTATAATATTGTTTCCTGGAGTACATACTACCTTCGAAGTAAGAAGTTCCTCAGTAATTCAGTTTTACAACTGACATAATCTCACTTAAGATAATGTTGAATGTTCTTTCAATATTTTAAATATAAAATTCTGAGTTCTAAAATAGTTGTTATATTAATCTAAGGCTCTATATCCTGGTTTGATATTCCTGCGTTCTCTGGTAGGTTGTGATTCTGAAGAAAATTACTTTAAACTGTGATGGTGAAGAGAGTATGGGTTTGCCTACATTATGGAGTTATATAGGTGCCCTAAAATTTTCAGTATGCCACAAAAAGTTTTTAGAAGGAAATTGAGGGATAAGGGTTAGTTTAAACTTGTCCACTAGGTAAGAATAGATGTTTCATATATGTTGGACCCTTTTGAAAGTTGAAGATATGAGAAGTCTAGTACATGTTTTTATATAGGCAATGTGATTTACTGGCTTTGGTTTGGGGGCCTTCTCTAGTGGTGCCCGAGGCTTAATTATTTGTTGGGTGCTCCGGGATAAATCCCACTAATACTCATGGGACCAGATTCAGTGTCAGGAATTAAACCGAGGTGGCTGTGTGCAAGACAAACAATTTAATCTTATTTAAGCACTGTATTATCTCTTTGGTTCTTACATTAATTTTATAGTAACATTTTAGATATAATACTGTTGCTAACACAGCATCTGCCACTATAGTATCTGAATTCCTCTACCATTAACAGGTATCATCTTACCAACACTCCTAAACATCACTTAGCAAACTCACTTTAGGTCAGGAGACATAGTATAGCTGCCTTACAAGCAGTCAACTCACGTATGATCCATGTAACCTCATTAAGTCCCCCCACGACTACTGGGAGTGATCCTTGAATGGAGAGACAGAAAGAGTAATAGAGACAGATGTGCCCCTCCCCATAAAAGGTAAAGGTAAAGGTAAAGGCCCTCCCGTTGATCGTCGATTTGCTCGAGCGGGCCCAGTAACGTCTCCATTGGAGACTTTGTTGTTACTGTGTCTGGCGGGCTGGAGCGATAGCACAGCGGTAGGGCGTTCGCCTTACAAGCGGCCAACATGGCCGACCCGAGTTCGATTCCTCCGCCCCCTCGGAGAGCCCGGCAAGCTACCGAGAGTATTCGATATGCCAAACACAGTAACAACAAAGTCTCCAATGGAGACGTTACTGGGCCCGCTCGAGCAAATCGATGATCAACGGGAGGGCCTCCCCATAAAAAGGAAGAATAAAAAAGAAAGCAGTTCAGTAGACTGACTCTCAAAGTCCATTATCACTGGGTACTTTTTGTACCTCCCTGTTATCTTTCTTTATACTACACAGATTAAATAGATGATTAGATATTTACCATTCTCCCTTTGACTCTCATAAGTATGACACCCTCTATATTCATCTATGTAGCAGCAAACTGCAAAATATATAGCATTCTGTACAATCTGTTCATCTGACCTTGGGTCCTTGGATTGTCTCCAAATATTGCCTATTGTGAATAGTGCTGCAATGAATATAGGAGTGCAAATTATCTTTACAAATAATTTATTTGTGTGTGTGTTTCAGGTAAGTAGTAAGTACTAAAATTACTTGTCATATGAAATCTAAATTATTAATTTTTTGAGAATTCTCTGTACTGTTTTCCATAAGGCTGAACTAGATGCATTCCAGCTAACATTGGACGAGAGTTCCCCTTATTCATCACATCATTCCCAGCATTGGCTATTTCCCTTCTTTTTAATTTAAGACAGTGTCACTGGCATGAGATATAGTATTGATGTGCATTTCCGTGATATGTGATACTTTTATTCAGATTTTTCAAATGCATAATTGGCATTGGGCTGGAGCGATAGCACAGCGGGTAGGGTGTTTGCTTTGCATGCATCTGTCCTGGGTTCGATTCATCTGTCTCTCTCAGAGAGTCCGGCAAGCTAGCAAGAGTATCCCTCCTGAATGGCAAAGCCTGGAAAGCTACCTGTGATGGATTTGATATGCCAAAAACAGTAACAAGTCTCACAATGGAGACGTTACTGGTGCCCGCTCGAGCAAATCGATGAACAATGGGATGGCAGTGCCTAATTGGCCTTATGTATATCTTCCTTGAATATCTTTCTGTGTAGCTCAATTTCCAATATTTTTTGGATTGGGTTGTTTGAATTTTTGTAGTTAAAGTTTGTAAATGTTTTATAACTTCTGATTGTTTTCTCTTTGTTAGATGTATGTTTTATAATTTTTGAATAATTGTCCTTTGTTGGGAGTGTAGTGAAAGAATGTTTTTGGCTTTGGGCCAAACTCAGCGATGCTCAGTGGTTACTACTGGCTATATACTCAGGAATTACTCCTGGTGGGTTCAGGGTACCTTATGGCATACCGGGGTTGAGCCAAATCGACTGTATGCAAAGCAAATGCCCTGCCAGTTGTATCATCTACTTGGGCCCAATGAAAAAAATATTGTATTCCATTCAGTGAGGTGCTTATTTATTGTACTCAACATTTCCTTTGTAGTATATAATCATTTCAGTTTGATATAGATTCATTAGTTTATTTTTTACTTGTTTTCTTAGCCAATAGTACCGTTTTCTTAGGCGATCGTGTCTTGATACTTCAGGGTAACTCTGAAGTCAGTATCGGGAATAATTCTGTATGCTCTAAGGTTTCTTATATATTATGACCTAGTATCTATTTTTAATTAATAATATTCTTTGACCATTTATATTAAGTACCCTGGGATTTGCAATGCTGTTTTATATATATATATATATATATATGTATATATATATATGTGTGTGTGTGTGTGTGTGTGTACATATATATATATGTTTTATGTATACATCATTCCAAAAGATGGGTGCATCACCAGAATGCCTACTTTCTTCTACCAGTATCCAGTGTTACAATGTCCCTTCTCAGTGTGCCCCACTACCCGCTATCTAAATTCAGTTCTATAGATTAAAATCTCCTGTTCCTATGATTTCAAAATATTTTTTTATTGAATCACTTTAAGACAGACCCTTACTAAGCTGTTCATGATTAGATTTCAGCTTATAACTTTGACCATTTCTTCTTCCATTACTATTTTATTTATAATCCAATATATGAGAAAAATACACTTTTAAGTAATTATTCTGGAGTGATAACAACTAAACAAACAGAGATGAAAAACACTGAATTCCTGAAATTCCACACAATTGGAAATCTAAAAGTTTATCAACAACATTTTTTCAAAAAATGATCTTACCTTTTCATAGGCACTTTCCTCCCGTTGTTCATCGATTTGCTCAAGCGGGCCCAGTAACGTCTCCATGGTGAGACTTGTTACTGTGTTTGGCATATTGAATACTCTCGGTAGCTTGCAGGCTCTCAGAGAGGGGCAGAGGAATCGAATCCGGCCTGGCCGGGCTGGCTGCACGCAAGGCAAACACCCTACTGCTGTGCTATCACTCCAACCCCCATAGGTACATGATTTAAAATATAATAATGTACATAATTCAAAGTTAATATGTATTTTAAATTTGAAATAAATAGGTAAATATCACTGTATCACTGTATCACTGTCCTCCCGTTGTTCATCGTTTTGCTCGAGCGGGCCCAGTAACGTCTCCATTGGAGACTTTTGTTGTTACCGTGTTTGGCATATCGAATACATCACGGGTAGCTTGCCAGGCTTTGCCGTGTGGGCTCGATACTCCAGGTAGCTTGCTGGGCTCTCTGAGAGGGGCGGAGCAATCGAACTCAGGTTGGTCAGGTTGGCCGTAGAAGGCAAATGCCCTACTGCTGTGCTATCGTTCCAGCCCCTGTAAATAGTAAAAACATCAATTAGATGTAGAACATTCAATATAAATTACATATTATTATTGAATGAAATTCACTATTGAATAAAATTCATTATTGAAATTTAATAAAATTCTTTAGCAAGCTAGGAGTAAGTAGACAATAATTACCACGAGTGAATATCATACTCAATGGCAGAGTTTACCTAGTCTTTTAAAGAACCTCATTTCTTTTGAATGTGGCTGGTTTCTTTCTTTCTTTTTTTAAAGAATCTTTGTATCTAATTAAAAAAAACTGTGATTTACAAAATTATTGATAGTTTGGTTTTAGACGTATAATATTTCAACACCAATCCTACCACCATTGTCAACTTCCTGCCCCCAGAAGGATACCCTTTTCCCCTTCCACTGCATGAGTGCATCACAAAAATTCAAAGGAAAATTCAAACAGAAAGTATTAAAGAAGCTCTTCTAATGCTTCTTGCAAAGCTAGTTTAAAGGCCATAACTTCCTTAAGCTGGTACCTGTCAATGAAGCTCTGCATTGTTTCTCCAAATCTGAAAGATCATTTAGATGGCTAGAATATTCTTGGATGTATTCATTTTGTTGAGTTTTTACTCTCTCTCACCATTTTCTTACGGCTCATAGAGTCTCATTTTATGAATTCTCTTCATGAATAATATCGGTTTTCAA